GTCAACAATGGGCGTCTGTTCTCTTCACAGACAAGTCTAGGTTCAGATTGGAGAGTGATTCAGGTCGTCAGCTGATGTGGTATTAACAAACCAGATACAACCAATTCCCCATTATGTAAAGACACAGTTACAGAGGTGGCAGAATAATGGTTTGGACTGGGATCTCTCTCGGTGGTCACGCTGACCTGCATGTGTTCCATGGAGAAACTTTTGACAGGTGTGAGATATCAAAATGAGATCCTTGATCAATATGTCCTCCTATATGCCACTGCTAATGGTCCTGGGTTTCTTCTGATGGAAGACAATGCGCAACCGCACCAAGCTCAGGTTACTTAAGAATATCTTGAGAGTTGTGGTATGGAGCGGATGGAATGGCTAGCTCAATCCCCAGACCTGAATCCGATAGAGCACCTTTGGGACTACCTTGGGAGATAGGCTGCAGCTTTAAGTAAAATTTCTACAAAGTACAGGCCTCCTCTGAGGTTGTTAGATGAGCTTGAATAAGGATTATTCCGTGTCTGGTTGTTGTTTTCCATTTCATTGACCAACACAACTTAATTGACAGCATAAACATAACTGCTGCCAATGTATTGCAGCTAAGGGTGGACACATTTCTTATTAGAACCTATTTTTGTAATGCTACCATTCCATTTTTACTCGAAAAAACTGCGATATATTGTTTCTCCAAGACCAGATTTTTATGTGAAGAACGCAATTTTTTGTTGTAATTCATGTTTCTCTTGAACTTAAGAAACATTCCACGTCACATTCATTAAAGAACTATTTAGTGAACATGTCCTGTAAATTTTTTGTTTCTATGTTGCTTCATTCTCAAAACAAAAAGCATTCTATTCCTTAACTTCTGGAGGGCAGAGTGTATATATATATGTCATATTTTGGCAGTCAGGCAGCATATTAATGAAGAAGCTTGGCATCTAATGATGACAAAGAAGAAGTTGACTGTTTTGATTCCACATCTTTATTCATTTCAAATGGCAGAATACTTTAGATTCTTCAAAATTACATATGCAATAGTAATTTAAACTAAATAGGATTAACTTTAAATTTACTGTGTCATGCTATTCAAACAAAGGAAGACTGATGGGAACAGCGGCAGCAAAGGTCTTATAGCAGCAGAAGGAGAAAGCAGTCTGACTAAAAATGGTGTGAACTCTGCATTTATAGTAGCGGTTACATAACATGCCAGAATTTTCTTGAAAGTACTGGTTTAGGGGAAGATCCTGAAATTGCAGAAAGTTAATTAGAGGTTGCCTGTTCATGTACAGCAAAGCCATCGTATTTTTTATATTTTACATCTTCCCTGTCTCAAAACAAGAGGTCGGGAGAGCAAATAATTCGTACATTACTGAAGTAAGAAAAAATTTAGAGTATGAGGAAAGACATGAAGAAAAACACCCAGGACATAGCTTACATGCTTTAACCATGCCCTATCATAACTTATGATCTTTCTCATATAATTAGAAACAGTTTTACAATGGAACCTATAATTTATAAATAAACATATAATTTATAACTAAACATCTAATTTAGAACTATAAGACAATAATATATGTAAGAATAATACTAAATATTAAATTAGAATCATAAAAGTCCTCAATTTTCTTCAAAATGTCCAAACTCTGGCAACCCTGCACGAAACCATTCTTCCAGAAACCATCCTCCTAACAATCCTTCAGTCAAGCAATGCCAATATTTTCGTATGCATTCTTTTTGTATTCCAAGTTCTAACTGCTTTCACAAATAAACTGCAATATTCTTTGTCTTTGTATTTGTTTTAAAATATGAGCTTCTGGAATTAGCCAGCAATGGGAGAAACTGCAGTAAAATTTCTGCAAAGTACAGGATTTTTCTGAAAATTTTCTAAAGGAAATTCATTTCTTCGACAGCTGCTGTTGCCCAGTCACTGCAAATCTCTGATTTTTTTTTTTTTTCCTTTAAGTGAAAACAAATTGCTGTACTTCGAGAGAAGAATAGCACAAAAAGGTTACAGAAAATTTGAAAAAGAATATAAGTGCTTTGTTTTTTTAATGTGTCACATAATCCTTATTTGACAACTCAAATTTGTTTTTAAATTGCTTAAGTACGTTTTTCTTTTCGTATATTGATAAAGCTTACCAGCTTACGATAAATATTAATAGTTTGATAACCTTTTTTTTTTTTTTTTTTTTTTTTTTTTTTTTTTTTTTTTTTTTTTTTTTAGCAATGAAATCTGTCAATCTGCACCCAACAAGTAACTTTTACCTTTCCTTGTGTAAAAAATTGCCAAACTGCAAATGTGGTCACATTAATACCTAAGTACCACCTTGCATTCAAATCTAAATCTTCTGAGATGCAAGGCCTAAAATCTGAAAGAAAAATTATCCCTACCAACTTTGTAAGAATAAAAAGCCTGAAGACTTTGGTGGAGAAAAAATTCAGAAAAGAAAAGTGTAAAGAAAAATTTTCAAGAGTTATACTGGTACACATTTAAATATTCTGAAACAATTACATTGATAAAAACGTTTATCATAAAAATATATAAAAGACAAATGAAATTAATTTTAAAATAATGACAGTAGCTTTTTAGTTTTTTCTATGAAGTGTTTTGGAAACTGTGCATTATAGCATTCTATTATCTTGTTTATTTTTCAGAAACAAAATATGTCATTGAAAATATAAATCCTGTACTAGTTCAAGAATACAAATACTTCTGCACTCCTTTCACAGCTAAAAATTTATGCGAAATGTAAGAATATTTATTAAATTAGCCATAGTAAAAATGGAAACAATAAAAAAGAGCAAACAACATCTAGTAGTACCTCTTGGTGGAAGTCACGAAAATGGAAAGCAATGTCCCTTTAAGAATAAAATTTTAATACACTATTATTATTTTTATATTTATCAATGTTGTTATGCTTGCAAAAAAATTGTCCAAAAATTTGAAAATCTACAAATAAAAAATTTTGGGGACTTCCTTTAGTGCCCTTAAGACTGAATCATTACCGAGATATATTGCCGAAATCTCACCACATGTTTTTATACATTGCTACAAGTTACATCTTGGTCGATTCGCGATTAAATTTTGGAGGCTTGTTATAATAAGGAAGTACCAAATTTTGTATACAAACTGATCTTGAAATCACCAGAATGTTGATAAGTTGCCAAGTTTAGTGGCACATAAGTGAACTCATATCTCCAAAAGGAAAAGTTGTTTTTGATGTTATATTTTAAGATCTCTTCATTTGCAAAAAAGGAAATTATTTCATATCTTTTTGTGTCAATCGAGGCAATTTTTTTTTTTTTTTTTTTTTTTTTTTTTTTTTTTACATTTAATTCACACTAATAAATTAAAACATATGGAAAAAGATACAAATGAAATAATTTATGTGAGGTATGGTTGTATCCACCAGGGTCAAATATTCTGGTAATGCTAATGCAAAATTATCTAGAAATGTCAAATGAGTAAAATTAAGGGACTTTTGCCAATTTTGGCTAAAATTAAGAGCTTAAAGACCAAAAATTGTTTCAAAAAAGACTTAAGGACTTTTAAGTACTGTATGTACAGACAGATGTCACGGAAAAATTCCCTTCTGAATCCATTTTCGAAATAAAGAATCCTTTATTCTGTTCATAAGTACAGGTATCACGCAAAACAAATCTTCCAAAATGAATTCAAGAACAGTCAAAATGGATACTTTCGCTGAAATATGACATCTGAAATTTTTCACAATTACAATATTTCCTTCACTTCGTAGAAGGAAGTAAAAATGCTATAATATTTTTGCTGCATATATTAAATAATACACATGTGAAATTTCAAATAGATGAAAAGAATTAACCTTGGAGAATTAACTTATTGAACATTACATACCTAGAATAAAAAAATCTCTTAACAACTAAAATGGCATATCCCAGTGGTCGGCAAAGTGCGGCTCCAGAGCCACATGTGGCTCTTTGGCTCCTTAAGTGCGGCTCTGCCACGAAAGGTGCAATAATTTCATTAAAAAAAATTAGTAAAATTAGAAAAAAATTACATCTTATTTTGATAAATTAAAATCCTTCTATAAATCGAGAACATGTATAATTTTTTGTTTCAATAAAAAGATAGATAGGCAATTAAATTTTTATATTGTTGTAAAAATACGTAATGAACATTGAGTTTAATTTTATTAGTTTTCGTAAACATAAACATAAACCATGTACAAACTACCGGCATGTGCGAGCATGCTTTTTATAAAGTAGTGAAGGTACAAATTGGCATCACAGAGCAGCAGTTGCAGTGTGAACAGTTTTGTCTTATCTACCGTGTCTGCCATTGTTGAAATTGACATTGGTAGCTTTGAAATACAATTGCTGGATTTAAAAAACAAGGAGATATGGCGCTCTAAATTCGAACGTCTCTGTGTTGAATTGGAAATATCAGAGAAGAAAAAAGTTTACTTGTGTTGATAAGTGGTCTGCTTTGAATGACCTGGAGAAGGAAGATGTGATCATTTTCAACGCTTGGAATAATATTCCTGACTCTTACGATCAGCTGAAAAAGCTCGCGTTTGCTGTTCTTTCCCTTTTCGTTTCTGCATATATATGCGAACAATCTTTTTCAAGCATGAATATTATCAAGAGTAAACTGAGAAGTTGTCTTATTGATGAGAACTTGGAATCATGCCTAAAATTAAAAACAAAAACATACAAACCTGACTTACTTAAACTTTCCAAGGAGATGCAAGCACATTGTTCGCATTAATAAATATTTATTAAGTACTAAATTTAGTTTTATTTAGTGTAATAAAAGTTTACTAAACAAGCAGATTTGGCTCTCATTTTTTTTAAATTGTTGTAATGTTCATATTTGGCTCTTTGGCTAATAAGTTTGCCGACCACTGGCATATCCCACCCTCTCAGTAGCAAACACATATCATTTTAAGTGTTTATCAGCAACACAAATTCAAAAACTTTATTTAAAAAAAAAAAAAAATAAGCAAGTGCATGTTATTCTTTACCTGTTTACGCATCATGTAACTGTCTTCTCCAGATGCTTTCATTTTTTCCAGTTTTGCCGTTTCTTTTGCAGCTTCTTTTTCATACATAAGTTTTTCCTTAGCTAGCCTAGAATAATTTAACAGAATTAGATTATAAGGATACTTATATAAATACATGAAAAAATATATATTGCAAAGTTTTATTCATATTTCTCCTCACATTTCTCATTTGTTTAAAAACATTTCAGATACAAAAATGATTGAAAACCAACCAATTTCAGTAAAATAAAATTTAACCCTCTCAAGTCCTGGAATTTCCCTGAAATTTGAAAGTTTGGCCAAAATGTCATGAATAAATGGTATTTTCTTGATCATAATTCCAAAACAGCCCACTAATAACATTGTAACATATTTCCTTGCAATATACAGGGTACGCAAGAAAAACGGCGATTTTTAAATTTCATGCTGTACTGGCTTCATACTATTGGGGAAAATCAGACCACTGGTACCATGTTCACAATTCAATAGCATTTAGTAAACACGGAGAAGTGGACAGAAGAACAACATGCGTTCACAATTAAATGTTATTACAAGAATGGTGATAGTTTTGTTGCAGCAGAACGATTATTTAGAAACATTTTAGAATTCATCACAACAATGCAGTTCCTTCAGCCCATGCAATTAAGACATGGATTAAGAATTTTGAAGAAACAGTTTCTGCACTATGTAAGAAGCCACAAGAAAGAGAAATAATAGTACGTACACCGAAAAACATGGCTGCAGTGAGAGAAGCCCTTCAGCATAGTCCACAACAATCTGCAACGCGCCATGCTGTATCGATAGGAATCTTCACTAACAGTGCAAGATACATTCTTCACACTTTCATTTAGAACCCCCCCATAAGATTCAGATAATGCATGTACTAACGAAATATGTTGCAATTAATTGAGTCGCATTCTGCTTATGGTTTTTGCAACTTTTAGAGGAGAATCAAGGTCTCATTCATAACATGTCAATGAGGGACGAGGCTCATTTTCAGCTGGCAGTATATGTGAATAAACAAAACTATCGATACTGGTCTGACAGTAATCCCAGAGAACTTCATCAAGTTCCCCTGCACACTGTCATGGTCACAGTGCGGTACATGATTATATGCTTCTTGATTATCGGACTTTACTTCTTTGAAGACAGTGATGGGCACACTGAGACCATAAATTCTGAGCGATATGGGGGAATGTTACAAACATTTCTGATTCCACAGTTGGCTACTCCATCTGAAATTAATGAACACACATGGTTTCAGCAGGATGAAGCAACAAGCCATACAGCACCAGTGTCCATGGAAGCTGTAAGATGATTATTCCCTGGTCATGTCATCTCAAAAAACGAGGATTTGCTTGATCTGCGAAGCCACCAGATCTTTCAGCTTGTGACTTTTTTTTTATGGGAATATTTAAAAAGTAATGTGTTAGTTGTTACAACCCCAAAAGAATTCTATATTTCAGAATTTAAAAGAAAAATTCAACGAGAGATAAAAGAAATTCCTGTTGAGGTGCTACACAACGTAATGGACAATTTCCAGATGAGGTTACAGAAATGTATACAGAGAAATGGTGCCTATCTGCAGGACATTGTATTCAAGACATGTCCTGCTCCACTCCTGTAAGATAACTGCTTATCGATGTACTTAAATATTACATTATCAAAAATATCAAAATAATTTAGACTTATGAGATATTTAGTTTTTAAAATCACCCGTTTTTCAGGAGGAGCCTATACATCCAATCTAAAATCAGATACATCAAAAAATATATTTCAGGGTACTTGACGAAAATTGGTGATTTTTTGGTGTCATTCCTGTTTACATCCAACGTCCTCCTCAGTAAAATGGTGTCCAAAATACAGGGTGTTTATAAAGTCCCAAACAGATTTTGATGTTTAATAACTCATAAAATAATAAAGATAGATTAAAATTAATAACATAAATGGTTAGACAGACTCAAAAAGTTTCATGACCCTTGTCAATGAACTTCCACGTGTGCCCCCTTCGTCGCACGGAGAATATCAAGTCGATATTCAATTTCCTGCCAGGTACCGGCAAGCATGTGTTGTGGTGTATGCATTCTCCTTAATATCTGGTCGAATAAAACACCACATACAAAAGTTTTAGACAAACACATCAAAAGTAATCATAACATTGCAATAGTTGCCAAAAACAAAAGAGAGAAAAATGCAATTAATAAGCAGACAATATTTAGAAAAGTACAGATATTTAGACTGGAAAATGAAATTATCTGAAATTAACCACACCCGCAGACGATATTTACAAAAGTAAAGATATTCAAACCTGAAAAGAAAAATATATAAGTTATTCCATCAATAAATGCCATAAGTTTGTTTATATCTTCATTATTTTATGAGTTATTAAACATCAAAATGGGTCCCGAACTTTATAAACACCCTGTATAATACAAAAAATATAATTAAAACAAAAAATATATAATCTCAATAAACTGCATTTTAAATCACACAAGGAAATAACATGAGAATGAAAATACATGTTATGTAATCCACACAATACAAAAAGAAAATATAAACTTATCTTATTTAAAAATGTATGTTTCTTCAGTGATACCTTCCATAGTGTTGATATGAGCTCTGGTTTCCAAATCCTTAAATCTCACTGCGTAATTTAGCAAGAGGTGAATGAAGTCATTTAAATATTCATTTACACACTAGTCAATTAATGTTTTCTTTTCCAATATTTCTAAAGTGTACAGGAACTTCAGGTTAATCGTACCACCAGCAGGCATTTTACTGTGTAAAGCGCAAAATAAGCAACGTACTTCCTAACCAACATCCAACACATAAATAAGCCCTTTCAAATATTTTTGTATCAGTAGAATTCACTGCAATCACACACCCAATCAAGTCACAATAGGTTTACCACAAATGAAACAACTTGGCGATAATCCAAGGGGTACCCAAAAATAGAGACTAACACTGGAAAGTCTTCCTTCTATGTGGAATTTCAGGTCCATAATCCTTGATGGGTTAAAAGTTTTCTAATCTTTCCTATATTTCAGAAAGAAAATGGGAAAAGGATATGCAATAAACCATTGCTAAATGTGAGGATTACATCATTAACAGACTGCATGTATGACAAAATCCCATTCTACAAAGTTAACTTTCTATGGTTAAAAGCAAATTAAATATAGTTCAGATTAAGTATGCATAATTTATGCAAGCCTAAATATTATTGTAATCGAAAGGAAGAAATGAAACAAATGTTAATTGAAATTATTTCTGTTATTGCTTAATGAGTAGATGCATGGTGTAATCATTTTTCTAAATAGCTAGCGATGTTTGCTTGGGACAATGTCTGATGCAGCTAATGAAAAATTTCGCAGTGTGGAATACTAAGTTTTTCAATACCTATCACATAGTTTTCATATCATCTTCTTTCTTCGTTTCAGTCAATCCCCTTTAAGGTATTAGATAATTTCTGCATCTTGTTTGTAACAATTCATTTAAGGCTCTTTAACTTCACTATTGCTGCTTTCGCAGTACAAAGCCCGAGATCCGTATTCGTCGGAACTTGCACAATTCCGGATTTGGGATATTTCTGGATATTAGATCATCAGTTTAAATTTAGTAAGACAGCAAGTAGAAATTATTAAATAAAAAATATGAAATTTTGACTTACTATCTGATAAAATATATGATATGATATGTGATAAAATAATGATAAATATGAAATAATGAAGCATTTATGATCTAAAGGGTATCAAAATTTACAAAAAAGCAGATTAATATTTATTTGGTTACTTTATTTAACATTTATTCAAAGCAAGTTTTATATATATATATATATAATATTTTCTCTTTAATTCTGTAGACAGACATAATTTCTTGTTCAGTTACATCATTGAAGTCCTGTAACTGCTGTGTTGAGAATGCCGACTAACTTGTCAATCGAAATTTTTTTCTTTTTCAGTAACCTCTCTGTCACTTCTTCATTATCGGTTGCGGTATTTTCTGGATCTAGAACCATAACTACAGATTTTGTCATCCATTAATTGATGATGATTACTGTCATCACAATGAAAAACTTCTTTGACATCATCTTCATTTATTACCACTTCTCTACATTTCTTTACAAAATCCATTAATTGCAAAATAAAATTTTCTCTTCGGTTTGCAATATCCGAAAACCTTTAAAATTCGCAGCTATCATCATAAAATTTAGCTGTTGTTTGCTATACATATTTGGCTATGTATGGCAAATAAAGACAAGTTGTTCCACTAAATTGTATCTTGCTTCTATCGTGCATTGAGAAAATTAAGCCTGATTAAGCATTCATTATACAGGTAGCCCTCCTACAACATGGCATCCTGTAATACGGTTTCACTATAACACGAATCATAAATTGAGAGAACCTTCCTACAACGCGGCATCCCATAAACATGGTCGTCAAAGAACTTCTGCCCCCCCCCAGTGCTTGGGTAACTGCAAACTTATTTAAAGAATAGTTTTTAAATTGTTTTGTGCCAGACACTGAACGTTATTTAAGGCAGAAATGATATTTGAGCTTCAAGGCACTATTGCTATTAGATAATGCTCCATGTCAACCACAAGATTTAAATCATCCTAACTTCAAAATACTGTTCCTACCACCTAACATTACTTCGTTACTCCAATCATTAGATCAAGGTAGTATTTCTACCTTTAAATTGTATCAAAATACACTTTAAAAGTTAAAAATGAGCAACGCCTCTGCCGGGAATCGAAACACGGACCTCTGGAATACACGCCCAGCATGCAGACTACTACACCAGGAAGCCACACCAAGAAGGCGGGAGAAATACCTTATATACTCCCCCTTTTGAAGGGCAACTAGGGTTTTTAAGGGACCCAATTACCAAATCCTAGGTGTGGAGAAATATCATCCAACATCCTTTTTAGTTTGGGTGCCACTGTAGACACATTAAGATTTTTTGGAAGCAGTAAAGATGAAAAATTAAAAATGCCTTCGCCGGGAATCGAAACGCGGACCTCTGGAATATGCCTTCAGCGTGCAGACATCACACCATGAAGGCATGCTAGAAAGGCACGAGAAATACCTTATAAGCATATTACTTACGAAAAGCATTACAGTGGATTTTAGATGTAACCAATTCAAAATCAACTA